GACAACCACCGCGCCATTCGTTGTGAAAGGTGCGGGCTGTTCACTGCCGTGCGTAATGACGCATGGTCAGTGTAAACAATGAAGGGTCTATCTCCTAATAGATAGACTCTGAACTTCGCGAGTGCATACTTCATGGCAAGGAGTTCCTTGTCATGCACTGGATAGTTCCGCTCAGCTGGTTGCAGCTGACGCGACTGATAGCAGACGACGCGTTCAACGCCTTCAAGATCGTACTGCATTAATGCACAGCCGATTGCGAAATCGATGGCATCACAGACCACATGACTGGCCTGTCCTGATCGGCTATTGCTAGGACTGGGAATTGTATCAAGCTCTGCTTGATACCCGCAAAGGAGCGCTGACATTCAGCGTTCCATAACCACCTCTCGTTCTTTTTCAACAAACGAGAGAGGTGCACAGTCATCTCGGCGTAATTGCGTGAATACTTATGCAAATACGCCGCTAGCCCAAGGAATTTTCGAAGACCTTTGACATCAACCGGCACAGGCCAGTCGGCGATCGCCTTGATCTTTTCGGGATCAGGACGTACACCGTTCTTACCAACGATGCACTCAAGAAGTGGTATTTCGCTTGCTGCAAATGTACACTTCTTGAGGTTTGCATACAGTTGATGCTTTCGCATGATTGTAAGAACCTGTCGGACGTGGTACCTGTGAACCTCAACGTCCGACTTTCCATCCATAGCCCGACTATGGATGAATACGTCATCGAAATAACTCGGCGCGAATTCTCGTACTGGTCTCAATAGATGTGATACACATCTGTTGAACGTGGCAGGGGCATTACTAAGCCCTTGTGGCATTACTAGCCATTCCCAGAGCATGCCGCTAGGCGTGCTAACTGCAGTATAGGGTATATCCCGTTCTCGCATAAGGATTTGATAGAAGCCATCTATCAAATCCATGGACGAAAAGATGGTACTCTTTGACATACCATCAATGATTACGTCCTTCCTTGGTATCGGCGTCCGGGCCGGTACCGTTGCAGCATTCAACTTGTTAAATGCATGCACTATCCGCCACCCTCCTGTTGCTTTTCGCACACAGAAGGTCGGAGAGCTATGTGGAGAAGTTGATTCCCTCACATGGCCCGCAGCTAAACGATCGGCAAAGAACTTGTCGATCGCAAGTACTTGTTCACGAGGCAGTGGCCACTGCTTCATGACACAGTACTTCGAGCCTAGTTTAAGCTCGACCTCGTGTCGAATACCTTTATCCTTCGGTAACTCGCACGGAACAGTTTCAGGGAATACATCCTTGAATTTAACCAAATCCTTATAGAGAGGATTTGTCTTGAGTGATTCCCACGATTGGGAGTCATATCGCTCAACTCGTGTCTTTTCATCTAGGACACTCTCGTCCATAGATGAACTACTGAGAACTCTCTCGTTCTCAGTGGACACAACTTTGTCCCAGTCCACCCGACTTATTGGAGTGGTGGACCTCAACTTTGTCCCAGTCCACCCGACTTATTCGAGTGGTGGACCTTCGGCGCAGCCTGTGTTTCCTCACAGCCGCCGGAACTTTGCTCCGAAGTGTAACCGTTTGGTACACTAAGGTTTTGTGCAGTCGTACTAACGACCGTACCACAAGTGAGGCCATCGCACTCACTCGTAGTACATCCACACGCTTGTGGACGCTCCAAAACGTTCATCAGATGGCCATCTGATGAACAAGCGGCAGGCATCGTTACTGTTCGATGTTGCCAGTTTACCCGTGGTTCGTACCTTCTGAGCCACAGAATTCCAAGGATGACATCAAATTTGTCATCCAAATCCAATACGATAAAGTCATCGTCAGATTGGGTATCTTCTAGCGTATAGTGGATCTTCACTATACGCTTCATGACGGTTACGGATGCGCCTGTCGCAAGACGTACCGTCATCCTCGTAGGAGGTGTGTCACATTCACTGAACTTAAAGTGACCATCTTCTAGCGATTGGCGTCGCACAAAATTGTTGGACGCCCCACAATCGACTAGAGCTCGAAGGGACAACTTATTCGTCACTTCGAGTTTCAAGATAATGAGTGAGATCTCATTACCTAGAGCAGCAACGCACAACGTTTGTGTGTTGGGAGCAACCTTCATCAAGAGGCCTACAAATTCTCTTGGCGTTGCTGGACAGTAGGGTGCTCCGCACCTACTGATCCTGTCCATTTTTTGACGGTCCATCCCGTTGTTGCGTCTTTGCACCAACTGCGGACCCTCGTCCCGGCCCCTTTCTCATGGGTGGACGGTCACTACGCCCAGTGTCGCGAGACACTGGACGAGGGGCACTACACTCGTAAGCGTAGTGTCCTGTCTTTTGACATCTGTTGCATTTCTGCAACTTCTTGAAGTCTGTTGAGCGAGCCTTCTCGCTCTCTACATAACAGAGTTCCATCGGCTCTGGACTTCCGCTGTCATATCGTCTCGGTGGACGATACGATGTCGAGCTGGCGCAAGCCTATCTCAGACTGAAGTCTTCCTGTTCCGCAATGGAAATGGCTTGTTCTAGTGAATCTAGTTCAAGCCGGAACAGGTGAGTCTTGACGGGACCATCCGCAAGACCCTGCATGAACACCGAAACCAACGTGTGTTCATCCACCGGATTGGAACTTATACAACTCGTAAGATGTCGTAAATGTTGCGCGTAAGCGTGCACATCACGCTTACCCTTCTTGAGCTTCAAGAGTTCGGTTCGAGCTCTGAACTCAGCTCCAGGCGGTTCAAACGTTTGTCTGAGCCGCGACTTGAAGACTTCCAACGACCCAAACGCATATGGGTCGTGCAACTTGAGCCCCAGTGCCCAAGTCTTGGCACGTCCTGCCAGATTTGACTGGGCAAATGCAACTTGCATATCCACGTCGTCGATGCGACGCGCCCTTATGGCGTCATCCAATTCGACGAACCATCTCAAGAGGGAGTCCTCTTCGACTCCCATATACTTGGAGATGTCAATCTTCAAGGTTTCGGGTCGACGCGAGTGCATCGACCTACCAGCAGCAGCCTGCTGCTGTCTCAACAGCTCAAACTGTTGAACACCCTGTTCTCTCAACATCTCTGCTTGTTGAGAACCTTGTTGGTGAAGCAAGGCTACTTTCTCTATATTTCTGCGTCAAGTTCATTCTGAATGAACTTGGCGATAGTAGCATGTTGGGCATCTCTATTGAGAGCCTCTAGCATGACGCTAACAGCATGGATGCCCATGGTTGAACCCATTCGTTCAACCGCATCCCAGAGAGTTCTCAGTAGTTCATCTATGGACGAGAGTGTCCTAGATGAAAAGACACGAATTGAGCGATATGACTCCCAAGCCATTCACGTATAACGGTATATGCGTCGTAGATGCATGCACCGAACGGCACATATCACAATTGACAAGGTGACGGAGTCCCCCCGGTCTCTGTCACCCGACTGCCCCTTGCATCTCGTCTTGAGCGTCCATGTCTTCGTCCTTGGACTTGCCTCATCGGTTGCTGAAGCGACCCAGCCTGTGTCACTTGGTGATGCAGGCGCTGGTCATGAAGACACTCATGTCTTCACAGAGTACGAGCTCGGTGTCTCGTGCACCCTGTATTGATCCCCCTTCCAGATCTTTGATCTTGCGGGCTCCTTTAATGCGGATGTAAGCTTTATACCAAGGATGAGATCATACCTCTCATCCAAGTCAAGGACTAGTCAGCGTTCGATACTGTCAAAGTCCAAAAACTTGACGCCTAAGTTCACAAATGATGTCGTTCTGCTAGCTACCCTTGCTCTTCACGATGCCTGTGCAGTATAAAGGCCCATTCGACATCGCTCAAATGGGTGTAGCCGTCACGCGTAGCGTGAAAGCTTTGGTCATCTTCATCATCTAACATATTCATGTTAGATGTGAACGTGGTCCTTGAACGGACTACGAAGTGCTACCAGGTGTAACGGGGCACCCTGAAGCTTGTACTGGTGACAGTACAAGCTACCTATTCTGATGACAGAATAAGGCGGTGCCTCGTAACTTTACGTACACTCGTACGTGCAGAGGAAGACGGTAAGAAGAAGCGAGTACTTGGTTAAAGTAAAAAGTAGAACTGTATTTAGTATAGTTAATGTCTGCAATAAATCACTATTTATCTTCATCTCACTATGTCTAAATACAAATGTGTAAATCAGTTATCTGCTCACCACTCATTGCGTGCGTCTGTCGAGGCGCGTCTTCGTTGGTTGATATAATGGCCTCTATCAACCAATTAGGAACTACTCGTAAGTGCTACAGAATATCTGTCCTTATGACAAAATTCTGAGAATATAACTCTTATAGTTATATTCTATTAACAATTTCTTAAAAATTGTTATGTAACGATTCACCCCGTTACATCCTTCGATCAGACAAACCATACGATTTGCCGCGTAAATAAGAGCAGTAGGAGCTTTTAGCATCGAACAACATGCCGCTCAAAATTTACAGAGCACATGACCGTTTAGATTGTAAAAAAGTAGGACTAAGTACTTTTTATGATAGAAAAGCTAGTCAAATCGCACCTACCCTCACCTCTTTCCGTGACACTCACCACAATATGATCCACTGAAGCGCACCATAACTAGAACACAGCTACTCCACAACGTCGCACGTGGTACGATTCGAGTAGAAAAAATTGGTCTCCGTCGTCGTTCTCATTTTTGTGCCTATTCCATCCCTTCCAAACTCAGATCCACATACGCCCTCACATTGTCCAGCTATCCATTTCCTCCAATCCCACGTATTGCCGTTTTCGATAATTTCAGAAAATATTCGAGTCTAGAACAAAACGTTTTGCAAAAGCGCTAAAAATCAGTTTGTCGCTCGAGTCGGCGTTCGACCTCACAATTATCGGCCGCCGGTCGTCCATTCTAACGCTCTATCTCGCCCCCAGCTCCTTCCTCTTCCTTTGTCTCTCATCCGTCTTCTCCGCCTCTGTCTCTTCTATCCATTGAACCCCTTTTCGCGCTCTCGTTCTTGCTCGTTCTCTCAAAATTCCACAATGTCCAGCGCTACATCCCTCCAGCTAAAATGTGAAAAGCTCCGAGAGACCATTGCGACCACGCGAGCTGCAAAGGCCAATGGTGGATTCAAGGGCAAGACTCACCACGATCGAGTCAAGGACATTCCGTCGCCGCCCGTCTGCAGACGTGTCTTGAAAGGTCATTGCGGCAAGATCTACGCGCTGCACTGGAGTACGGACAGTAACCGTCTCGTCTCGGCGTCTCAGGACGGGAAACTCATCATCTGGAAAGCTCAAATGCAGCAAAAGGTTCAGGTCATTCCATTACGTTCGAGCTGGGTCATGACGTGTGCTTTTGAGCCAACACGGGGCCAAATGGTGGCCTGTGGCGGACTGGACAATCGCTGCAGTATTTATCACATATCTCAGGCACACGTCGTGCGTCCTGCTAGGGAATTGACAGCACATGATGGATACCTGAGTTGCTGTCGATTCATTGACGAGTCGACTATTGTCACGAGCTCAGGGGACTCCAAGTGCATGTTGTGGGACATTGAACGGGGAGAAGTCAAAACGACGTTCCGAGAACACGCAGGGGACGTGATGGCCGTGAGTCTGAATCCTCATGATTCAAACATGTTTGTCTCGGGGTCGTGCGATGCGACGGCAAAAGTGTGGGACCTTCGAACGGGCAGAAGCACGCATACGTTCCAAGGTCATGAGTCCGATATCAATTCGGTTGATTTCTTTCCTAGTGGCAATGCTCTTGGTACTGGTTCGGACGATTCTAGCTGCCGACTCTTTGATTTGCGAGCATATGGAGAGCTAAATAACTTCAGCAACGACAAGATTTTGTGTGGAATTACGTCCGTCAGTTTTTCCAAGTCTGGTCGCTTCCTCTTTGCTGGTTATGACGACTATAACTGCTACTGCTGGGACGTGCTTAGTACCACGGGTATGCATGTCTACCAGCTTGCAGGGCACGAGAACCGCGTATCGTGTCTGGGTGTTGACCCGAAAGGACAAGCTTTGTGTACAGGAAGCTGGGACACGCTGCTCAAGATTTGGGCCTAGGCGAGTTTGACAAATTTGAGCGGAGTCAAAGCCGCGGAACGAGGAACGATCTTCGCTTTGAAGGCAGTATTGCGCAGTCATCTGTCGAGCAGATGTGACGCCGATGTCAAGTCCATCATGGGCTTCCTGTTTGATATTTGTATGGATCATGAGCAAGTGTAATAATTAAGCATAGAGTAGCAACCCACGATGTTCCGTCAATAAATAATGCTGAGAGGATGTGAAGCAATACAGAATTACAAGGATCTATGCGTGCTGCATATGATCGTGAACAAGGCTTTTACAACATTTGTCGCTGTTGCTAAGAGTTGACGTGCACATATGCGCTCACAACGACCTTACGCCATGAGAAATTGATTCCTGATTTTATTTAGCATGTCAATTGTTTGAAGCAAAGGTCCCTTTAGCTTAGATCCTGTAAAAAAGGCCAACAAACCTTTGTTTATAAGCGTGTAGCTCGCTCAGATCCGATTTATCTGTACTTGACGCAAGAACTCGCAAAGTGTTTACTCTTGACAGAAACGTTCGCTCGCGTTAAGTCTTCTACAACACAGCAACAGTAGTCGGCACCATGCCGTTATCAATGATCATATAAATAGGAGAGCATCATCATGTAGTCCACGACGGCCCTACAAGCTGTATAGCTTCGTAGCAAGTTTACAGTAAAAAATTCAACGATGTAAGAAGTGTCACTAAAGCTTTCATTCACAAAAAGTATCGATATGGTAGTAACAATCGCGTATAAAAGAGATCGAGTGTATATGGCAACTTCAGCAGCTCGTTCTCGCCAAGATTTATGTAGCGCCAGAAACTGTAGAGCCCTCGTAATGCAGTACATGCATCTCTTGTTTTGTGCTACATTGTTCGCCTATGCGGCGTTTCATGTCGGTTGACTAAAAAAATCACATCCGATTTACTTGAAACCACATCAGACGAAGATTACAAATTTTCTCAAATAGGTACATGACAGCGAAACGGTACCATCTCTCGTCTGTGAGAGCAGTGTGCTCCTCTCGCCTAATCCTATCTTGTCATCGACAGCTTCTTTCGAGTTGTTACAAATTTATGGTAAGCTAAGCGGACGGCAAGTAAATTATGTAATTTGAGACAGCCAACATAGACGTTTCATCAAACAAAACCAATCGTCCAGACCTCAATCAATTTGACTGCGTCGGCTGCCGTAAACTCGCTCATGCAATTATGGCTACAGCTTGATCATATGCTGTAAATGGTTAGATCGTCACCTTGGACAAAGATAGACGCTGAAGCAGAATATAAATGCATGTTATCGCATTTGGTGATGCTGCCAATGATCGCAGTGTTTTCGTCAGCATCTTCATTGAGTTTTAAAATCGAAGAAGTATGTCGACAGCTGTCCGAGATACGACTTGTGACTACCTATTGTTGTGATATATATAATGTTGGCAAGTATACCGGGCGTGGTCGAGGATGAAACATCACGTAGTAGTTGTATTTTATGGTGACGTCGCGATTCACGCGCAAATTTCTGCCGTGCATAGTGTAGGAATCTACTTTTGATAAAGTAGTTTCGTCAACTATTTACTCGAACGCGCTGAGAGCTGCGGTTTGTGTCCTTCTAAAGCTACATATTTAGTGGCATGAGCTGACATTGATTTAGCTCTGATGGAACCGGATCCCAAGTTTTATATAATTGCTAACTGTGGGAAGCTTCTCATCTTTATAAGTTGCGATATTTCGAGCTAAGACACATCAAGCACGACGTCCTTAGTGTATCATATATACGCGTTTGTCACGAACGAGTCCTGTATTCTTACGTTATATATTTATAGTGGAAGGAATGTAGAAAGATAGTGTCCTGGCCATCTCTCGCGATGAACTTATGCGAACGCATAACGTCAATTTTTTATCCTTTGCAAAAGTCATTTTGTACAGATTATTAATTCTATCATTTTTGATACCTACTCGTGAGTGCAAGGCTGTCAGTTTTGTGGTTCATATTGTTCCGACATGGGCTCATAAGCCACATTAGTATCGCACTTACACCCTTTTGTAAGTGCAGCGCGTAGACAGTAACATTAATATAAATTGCGCAGCCTTCGTAGATAGAAAGGCGGGAGCATCACAGAATCCTTAATACGCGATGAAGCTGAAAAAAGACAACTTCGTGTTTTTGTAAATGCAAACGCATCTGGGTATTGGAGAAAAATGGAAGTGGTCAAAAATGAGTAAGTCGCGTCATTGCTGCATCGTGATGCGATCTCGACGACGACATGCCATCATCCAGGATATTTACACGCACTTCTTGGATAGTAACTGCATTTCGCACCTTTCTTTATGAATATCCTTAGCTTCATCGTTTGCTTGCATAAGCGTGTTCGTGTAAGTACGCAAAAAAATGCCGCGCTACGGGATCTCAAAATCTAGTAAAAAGCTGCTGTCTCTATGGTTATCAGGCTACTTTCGCCGGACAACAAGCTCTTATACTCATCTGTGTATCGATAAAACTCGTTTGATTCTAATCACGTGCCAGACGTTTATGCTCAAAGGACTCGCCATAAACATATCGTTATCACAGGTCTCGACATTGAAGCTACAAGTGAGGCTAGCTGTGGTCAGCTTTGGTGTCGGCATTGTAAATTTTTTTCAGAATAGTTAAAGTAAGGCTCCAAATTTCGATTTTTTCGTCATCAAATGAGCGTGTTTTAAGCGGTTCAAGGGCAGCTGAACATATTCTTACTTGACCTACGACACGGGCGAGAATGATACTTTCACCGCTCACAGACTTGTACAATCTATTTATCGTACCTCAGAGACAGACAAGGCTTACTACCCGAGATGTCGTACATGATGAAAAAATATTAGGACACGAACCGAACTTTGACCATTGTAGAAAGCTCACAACTTCTCCATCATAAAAACGATCTGCTGGTATGGATTGTCCTTGAAAGCTTTCCCCCTCACTCCCACTTAAAGATGCTACAACATTGGTTTGGATACAAAGAGGTAGAATTTCTATGGTTAATGGGTGATTTAAGCGTTAAGCGTTTTGGACGCAATTCGTCGTTACTGAACAACTGGTCGAATATTTGACCGAATCGTGTACACATCACGTCCGAGGGCTAGCTAGAATACGTAAATCTTATGATCCGTATGTCGATTTCACATCCCACGCTATTGCAGCTACAGTGCTGCGTAGTCATAAGTTGATGATACACACAAATTTAGCACTATCCTCGTCTTCAGACATTGCATACGACGCCAGGATCACAAACTTGTCGATTTGTAATAGTAGCGAACCCGCATACTAGAGGTGACGGGGATAATGGGTGAGCAATAATAGATACATTTAGTGATTAATGCATGTGCCTTACTCTGTCCGGGTTTTGTCACAAACGATGACATCGTTTCGAAGCTCAAGGTACCGAGAAATGATTCCAACTCACCATTACGATTGTTTTGGCCTTGATAGACAACTTTCGTCGGATAAAAATGCTCCTGAATTATGACTGTAACATCCTAACTTTATGCCTGTCGCGAGACAAAAAGGCGTACTTGCGAAAATCTTGCTCGATGACCAGAAGACTCCAATAAGATCTTCAAGATTACTCACTCAACTTTTTTGCTGAAACTTTCGAGGGATGTCTCATTGAAATCGCCCATGAACTTTGGTTGACAACAATAGCAGACGTGTATCTCCGTTCATTATTATTTTGCTTCGATAGGAGGTAAAAAGCTGAAAATTCGTGTCTAGAAGCAGAGCTGGAGAAGACAGGCAGGTGGCAAAAATTCTGAGATCAGTCTGTATTTCGGTATGCCATACTCGGGATCACTGTATACATCATCTATGTGAAGTCTAATTACCAAACATGCTCTGTGTTTTATGGTGTGGCGTTGTATTTGTACCATCGCCGACCCCACACAAACGATGTAGAAACTATCTGACGCTGAGATGGCAACAGAGTGCAGCAAGTTGACACCATGTCCACAGCTTCTAAGCAGCTCACTTCCGCTATCATAGAAATGGTTCATGCATAACCTCTAGCCCGCACATCGTAAACTCAATTCACACAGCTGCAATTGCAAGCCTTTCTCTACACAACACCAACTTCTTGACGGCAATCACATCCCCAATCACTCTTGTTCCAGCTCATCACTTGTCTCGGCTTGTTTACAAACTTGCTGTTCTGCTTTAAGTTCTTCGATTTCTCGTAGAATTACCATTGTCATGTAGTGGTTGGCCATCCACATTGACCTGCTCTCTCCTTTGTATCGACTTCGAATCGCACCCGAGTTTGCCGCGGTCAGTGGAACCGGCAGCTTGCAGTCCGGGAAACGCTTCAAGGCCTCGCTATCAACGTAATTCCACATCGCTTCTGCGCCTTTAATCTGATGGAGAGCGAAGAGAGCTACAACAGGGCCGTAATACCACCAACCTGGGTGCCGCGGCTTCTCCTTATCGAGTTTGACAAAAAAGGCAGCACCAAGTTCTCCATACACGGACACGATGAGCGACTCGAACGCAGTTTTGGCAGAAAACTGGCGATTGTTGCGCTTGTTGAAATCTGCTAGATTAAGCTTGCGCGACATGGGTGCCCAAAAGTTGCGCTCCCACACAGCACGCGAGTGTTTCCGCCAAAACTGACTCAACTTCTTTGCAAGAATTGGATGATTTGTCTCATCAAACGGTACTGGCAAATTGTTATACACGGTCTTCCACGGAGCCTTGGCCTCAATTGCTTTCAGCTTCTGTGCCAAATGCAGCTGACTAAGGCTCTTTTCCTCTGATACTAACAATTTGTCGCGTTTATGTGGCCTCTCATTGCCGGTTTCCGCACCACCATTTCGCTTTCGATTGCCTTGCGAGCCTTCCAAAGCTACGGTTGGCACAGCTTTACATCGTTGAGCTTCACTTGGTAAAACATCCAGCGATGAAGCTTCACCTGTGGGATTTATAGCTGGTGAAAGCGTATTCAGTACAGCCTCGATCGCCACCGCTTCACCCAACGGAGATTTAGTCTTTGCCAGCGCCAAATCTGCTTGGCATTCGTTCTCGTTAGTCACAACCGTTGCGCCACGTTCGCGAATCATCTCAGAGGTGGACCTCAAATCAAGTGACGTATTTATGTCTGGTTTGGCATTGGTGGTATCGGCGACACTGAGACGCCTGCAAAGGCACGTTGGCTCAGTACCAACGTCCGGATGAGCAGACTCAGCTGTCGTCGATTCCGTCACCATTCCAGCCGCATCTTGGTGTAATGGAAGAGCGTCAATACTCACTCTTTCGCTACGCTTCGATGCCGGCTCCGTGGCGGAGACGGAAACAGTATCGGTCCTCTCGCGTTCGTCTCCAGCTATTGCACTGGTAAATGCATCACGATCATCATCATCATCATCACCATCTCTCTGTCTCTGTTGCATGGCAGCTACCCCAGGCTCAGTACTATCCGATTGAAGCAAACAATTTTCCGTCCGCTCAGCTTCCGATGACAATAATGCGTTGGATGCGGCTTTAACGAGTAAAACCTGAGACGTCAAAACAATAGTTGACAGCGGCATACGTGTCAAAGTATCAGCCGGCTCATGTTGATGCGTTAAGACATCAGCTGACGTAACGCAAGACGTCGAAACTCCAGCTGTCGAATCTTGAGATGTCAAAACAGCAACTACCGCAGACTGAGACGTTAAAAAATCTTTAGACAGCGCTTGAGATGTCAATGCTACAGCTGACACGTCTTGACGGATCGGGGCTTCAGGCATCACAGCTTGGGACGTCAAACTATGAGCTGACGAATCTAGAGGTGTCAAAGCTTCAGCAGGCACAGCTCGACATATTAAGGCACCAGCTGGCACAACACGAGACGTCGGCGCTTCAGCCAACAATTCTTCTGAGGTTGAAGAAATACTTGGCAAGGTTTGATTGGTCGAAACATTGATTGACATGTCTTGCGATGTCGACGGTCCAGCAGGTACAGCTTGAGACGATAGAAATTTAGCTGACAAAGGAGCTTGAGACGGCAGAGAATTCTGAGACATCAGAGCTACAGCTGTCGAGGCATCAGATGACACAGCTTGAGACGTCGGAACATCATCTCGACCATCTTGGGCTATTAACGTATCAGCTGAAGCATCTTGCATGGTCAAATCTTGAGCAGAAACAGATGGACGAGCTTCACTGCTCGTTGATCCGGCACTTGAAAAAGCATTAGCCCATTGCACCGTCTCAGACACGCCTTTGCTCCGCGTCTTCACGCTGCTCCTTGTCGTCCTCTTTAACTTCTTCATCCCGAGTTCTTCGACTGTCTCACGACCTGTACAATTTACAACCAAAGGTCTGGATGTTTTTGGTCTCGTCTGTCTCTTTTCCGTATCCGTAACTTGTTTTCGGATAGGTTTCATCGTGTTCCTTTTTGTTTTCATTTTCATTGGTACTTGTCCCTGTTGCGTATCCACATTTTCCTCCACTGGTCGAAATGTCGATCCCTGGTGCAAAGGTACAAAACAAGGCGACAGCGACTGTTTTGATGGCGGCAATTCAAATGGAATGACACTAATCACTTGGTCTCCTCGATTGACAAATTGTCGCAATGACGTCTCGGACTGAGCCAAAAAATCTTCGAACAATTGTTTGAGTAAACTCATTCCTCTCGTCGCTGTTCGGAGCTGGAGAGAGTGAAAAACACATTCCAGCGTGTTTAAACGCGATTTCGGCTGTAAAAGCACCACTTTTGCTTGACTTTGTCGTTTTAAACTGGTCCGGAGGACGGGAAAAGTCGTGATAATACTGCATCCTTGTTGGATCATGAAAGATAAAGTCGTAGACTGATGATTGAGAAAATCCGCAAATATCCGACGCAATAGCGACAAGTTTCGACATTTGAGACGCAGGTCTAAGTAGATGGTAAAATCCTGCAGCAGGGCGAAATCTGCAGCGGAGGAGCTGGATAAACCTGTGCCATGCACTGTGTAGCCATCCATTGTCACAATCGAGTGATCGTCAATGGTTCGGTCACTGGTGTCATCACGAGACGCTGCTGAGGTCGGTGCCATGATATGATGATACCTCTGAGCACGGATGGAGAGGACGATATTATCTCGTTTTGTCTCGATATTGTCCGTCAAAAGTCGCGGATAATAACGAGATTTTCCGTTTTTCATGAATAGGCTGTCTTTAATGTGGTGTGGGTGAATTGAGTATCTGATTCGACAGGTTGTGTGTAGACCACTTCATATGCACGGTCCTGCGAGAGATTTACCAGTTCACAAATAAGTGGCGGCTGATGATGAAGACGTTTGAAGGAGAGACAACGTGCGAGCAGGAGCTTCGTATGGCTTCTGGACAGGCTAACGGGACACACTTGGTTATCGTGTACTTTGGTTGGTTCTTGTGGCTGCTAGTGGTGAGGGAGAGGGAGACGGGACATCTAGGAACGAGACGATGGGTGGGGACGCAGTGGGGGCTATGTGTGCACGTTTGGTTACATTGTTCATGCATAGAGTGGAGCGGCACGTGTATACACTGAATTTTGAGTTTTGTATGCATTGCGACCGACTTGAGGTCGTCTGATGGGCGGCCTGTAACCCTAGACCAGAGAGAAGAGGGTCCTATTCTAGGATTTCTCTTCAAATTGGGTATCCTGTGTGCACAAAGGGGGTAGGCCATATCGTCCGAGTGTGTTGTATGTTCTTTATTGACCTCTTTCTTCTCCTCACGCTTGGGTAGCAATTTATGGCGACTTCTGTCTTTTGTATTGGAGTTAAAAAAGGAGGAAGAAATGTTGGGGTTTTAGTGGTGTAGATGGAACTTGAAAGGATGTAGATCGTGTGCTTCGCTCTGGTATGGCTTTGTTTACAGTTATGGGTGCACTTGCTCTGATGCTTCTTGTAACCTCGTTTTGCTTGCTAGAGTGTATCAGAAAATTGATGCATATTGTCCCGATCTCGCTTTCTGCTTGACTCATGCTGGTTAGCCGTTGGATTCAATTGAGTCATGAGCTGCTGTAGTGTGTTTTCTACGACTGTTCATCGGGCTTCATGAAGTGGACACTGTCATGCACTTCCATCTGTCGGGGAGCACAATGGAATGACCGGGTGGTTACAACAACACTGGTGCACTATGTGCAGAGTTGTCGCTGGCTGCTTTACGTGGTGGTGGCTTTTGCGTCTTCCTCTAGGGTTGCCGTCCGACTGTGTTCAAGCTCTTCTGGGGCACAGGATACAGTCACGACGTTTGCAATAAAGGTTTGCCCTTGTCCTGGAGACGTCGAGGCTGTTGTCGCGTTGGTATGCTGCAGCATACTCCATACCGTTGCTTGTTTGCTACTTGTCGTTCTCGGCGTGTCCGGTTAATGGTTCGTCCTCGCAACTACCCTCGACAGTTTTATCTGACTGGCCGCTATGAAGTTTATGATAGTGATTAGACAACGAGTGCGTGTTTTGGCTGCATCTAGATAGAGCGGAAAGCTCCAACGCATGTCAAGTGTGTGTAGAAGTGTACGTTTTTGCGAGCCCAAAGGGTGAAGCTTTTAGTGACTGTGCGCAAAATTGAATGTCGAACTTTTTAGTCGTACTTATCGGTCGGTCTGTCATAAATAACGCGGCTAGGTGTACCTCGCGTGAGCTAAGTGCGATCTAGCGTGTCCCCCCCCTCATAGGTATATAGGCATATCCGAAGTCACTCTTTGGCTCAGTCACTCTTTGGCTCAGTCACTATTCTGGCGCACGCTTGTGACTGGCTTAAATCGATCAAATGTGAATATGATCACATAAAGCATATGCTGGACGCTTGCTAATACGCAAAGGCTGATGCGTTGCCCAGTATTCTGCTCTAATTAGATCAGACATAAACAGCATCATACTCCTTCTTCAGTGACTGCTGCTGTTGCATAGTGTTTTGCAACTTGATATAGCATAACGAACTGGATCAATCGTATCAAAGGGCAAGCTCCAGAGCTTGCTCCCCTATCTTTCATTTCTGTAGGAATTGAATCAACCTGTCGAAGTTGTTAGTTATGACGCAAACACCCCGCATCGATCCACAGATGAGGTGTTCAGCGAAAGTTAACAGTGTTTGGTAGATGTACTGAACTGGTACACGAATCGATCGATCACGCGAGTGTGCACGAGATACGTGTGGCGATGCAAAGTTATCAATGGAGTGACAGACAGACAGACAGACAGACACAGACAGACAGACGTAGTTGTAAAGACTTGTGATGCATTTATGACATGTAGCACGTTCTCTCGCAAACAAGATGCTGTAAAATGAAGGACGCAACATGCAATATTGTATGTGATCACGCAGCCAAGCACAAGTGGCTCAAACTTCGCAGACCTCGGGCAAGTGGAAATGCTCTTCATCGTCGTACTTGATTCTCTGCTGGTGGAAGAGCGGGGACTTCAGAAAGAGTCCAACAACAATGCCGGAAGCAGCGCTAATCCCCATCGAAGACACGATCGCGAGAAGTTGGTACCAGCCTTGCTCCGTTGCAGAACGGTACGCCCGAGCTGCGTAGACGGACGTGAGACTGTCTCCATAGTAATCATCCGAAGCAGAAAAAGTGACAAGAGCTCCAGCAAAGCCCCCGACGACGCCTGGCATGGCATGCAAATTGAGAATGCCACACGTGTCGGACATGCGCACGATCTGTTCCAATCGTGGACTCACGAAGCGGTACCCGAGAACCGACGCGATGCCGACCACGAGACCAATTGTAATGGAAGCAGCTGGACTGATTGCGAGGTTACAAGTTGTACCCATCGCCACCCCGCCCGCGAGTGTGGCATTCTGGAGATGTACCATGTCGAACTTCTTGCTACGACTCAAGATCTTCGAGGCGGCAAAAGCCGAAGCACATGACGCTGCTATGCTCAAGACCGTCGATATGACGGCCCGTTCTTTCTGAAATCCCTCTTCAGCGACCATAGCCGAGTTAAACGAAGGCCAGTACATCCATAGAAAGAGCGTGCCAATCATAGCGAAAACATCCGAGTGGTACACGGACGTATTGTGCAGTTGATCCCGCAGAGACGGGACACCGAGTACAATTGTCACGGCGAGGCCAAAGACAGCGCCGAACGTGTGGATGACCATGGATCCGCCCGCGTCAGTGACAGCTAGCGTGACGTACACAATGTACTCATTTATTGCGTAGAAGATTATTTCGAAGAACGTCATCCAGACGAGTTGGGTCGGCGTGATTTTCCCAAGGACAGCACCAAAGCTAATGAGGACAGCGCCAGCAGCAAAGTCCCCATTGATCATAGCAGGGATGTCAAGGACCTTGGTCGAGTAGTGGTTGCCTAGGATCTGGTGGGCCATTGTCACCATGACGATCCCCCATTGAAGCGACAAGACACCAAGGAGAAAAGTGAGGGCGACAGCACTCCAACTGTATTTCCGAAGAAAGGTCATGAGGAAGCCAAAGCCAACAAAGATCATGACGTGGACGTCCATGTACATGGGGTAGGAGCTCAACGTGCTGCTGGTGGCAGCGTCCATGGACTCGGGACTGGGCATGTCGAACTTTAGACCGAAAAGGAGCAGACACACGGCTTCGAAGAGCACGAGGGAGAGCACGAACGTCTTCTCCGACGTTGGGGGGCTACTGCTGCTGCTGCCAGCAGTCGGTGTCGTCACGATGTTGTAGTCGGCATTGGTCGGTGAAGTGGTCACGGAATCCCATATCGTGCTCACGAGGCCCGACACTTTTTTGAACATCCTGACGATGACGACGATATGGTTGGAAGGTGCGTGCAAAGTGGGGCACGACGACGTGGAGAAGCGGTGGTTGGGGGTAGTGCTCGATGCTGTAAAATCGAGAATGGGTCTGGAGGGTAGTGAGGTTGCGTGGGTGCGTGGGTGCTATAACTAAGACGCCGTGTGCACACTTGCAGTTGCGAAGTTCAGGTTCGGACTGTAGCTCAACTTGAACTTCCAGCATCGAAGAGGGTAGTAGCGCAAGCATCTGGATCGGTGTGACATGCGTCGATTCGAGCGACTAGACCTCCTGGAGGTCACATCTCGACGTTTGATTGGCGCTTACGTCGATAGCTGCTTCTTTTTTATTTAGACAAGACGACGCTTCAAGCGGGCTGAAAACGCGAGACGAGACGAGCGTTTTTGTTGGTTACGTGTTTGTTTGTTCGTCCATCGATGACGAGCACGCGTCACGTGAAAAAAGGTGCAAGGAGATGGAAAATCAGGAATGGGCTGGATACAAGTGCAGGGTTGATGAATGTGCGGTAGATCGAGGAGAGGCTCGCAGTGATTCTCTTAAGAAGCGTTTGGTGGAGAGAAGCGGGCGGCCATCCCACTGACTTTCGCACAAACGCTTTCGCAAATGATCGCTTTGCAGATCATTGCGACAGTTCGTGCGCATCCCCTGCTGTTACGTTGAGCAAAGAAGAAGGGCATTACTCACGAACCCCCGCTGCACTTTTACAGCACTGGGAAAAATCAAGTTGGCCCGATAGTCGGGTGGGCGGAGGGTTATCTGCGTCTGAAGAGACCGCTGAAAACTACATTGGAACAGTGTGTGGATCTGGGCTACCATTCGATGAGCGGCGGTTTTATTGCGACTGCTTACATGAATCTGCTGAGAAGCACGATCGACATCGAGACAGTGCTACCAGAGGAGGCAGTAGCCTACTGCTGTTAACAAACTGAATCAATTGCACACTGGCATGTGAGCGACGTACCCAACAACCTTAAAGAAGTAGGAGCTAAGTAAATTAAATAACTTGTATATTACCGCGCACCAGACGCGTTTCGGCCCCCCGCCGGGGGCCTCATCAGTGGTTTGTCAATCTACAAGTGAGAACTATCCATACGTCTAGCTGCCGTACGACCTATAATAATGCATAGAACCCTAAAGAACATTCTAGACATACCCTATCATGGGTCGAATCTCTGGAGTCGAATCCAGTGCATCAAGCACTTACAACAAACCTTGCGTCGGTGCGATCCTGAACTGGCTTGCTTCAGCTTACGACAAGGAGCAATGCGCTGTACGCCACCAATACTTGCTGCCTCATCTCATGGATCAGGCTTTCACGGGCAGCGAAATGAAACGGTTTTTTCAGTGCGGCACGTATAGACTCTCTCCTGCGCGTTACATACCAAGCAGCAATACATCGGTGGAATATTGCGACCTTCTACCGCCATTTTGGTATTTAGTAAAACTGGACGTTGTGACAGTCGTAAAGAGTGTGTAACAACAGTGTCACCAACGTTCCAATCAACCAGAGACAACGATCTTGGTAAGAGTTCCCCAAGACTGTCTTTGCGTGATCGATACTGGTACGGATCGATCTTACCGAAACCAACGACAGCATGTTTCGCATTGTGTTGCTACTTCGGGGTGCCGCCTCTGGGAACGGCCGGAATGAGCTCGATGAATACTAAGTGTGCCTCGAGTCCTATTTTAGGACGCTTTGTGCACTCGGACTACCCCCAAAATATAGTCGGGCTGCACATCTTGTATACACTATTCTGATACAATAGGCGCCGTCAAAGCATACCAGGCACATTACTGCTTTCGTCTTTTCCGAAGGCATTTGCGCCGCGGAACTTGTTATAACACGTGGACGCTGATGAGATACGCATTAACAATTAGCAAATAGGTTCGTGATGTTAATGTGCTTATTTACCGCTTGGCATTACCACAAACGATTACTTTCTCGGCTCGAGCCTGTTTTGGTACTTATTTCTGTAATGCCATTCGTATAGTATACGGCTTGGCATTATTTCTAATTTCCTCATCTTGTAATGTATTTGCTTGATGTACAATATCTAGCTCTCTCTGTATTAACATGTTGGCCCCTTTTCAGAAAGAAAACAGAACATCAACTCATTGTTAGAGCCTGCTTGTCTAATCCACCACAAAATCAAGGCTTATTCTGCGCTCTTTCAGCTAGTGTTAGTCGCGTACTTTTCCAGTAGCTGTAAGCCGAGAAATGTACGCTTATAGAAATCATTATTTGTGAAACTCCTAACGCCGAGGTCGTTTGCGAAGCGTTGAAGCCATCGATTGTCAAGTTGAGGGCTTGAACAACCGCTCAATAAGGGCGAATACCTCTATTTGTGCTTAGATCTCTAAATCACCTGCAATAAATCCTTTTTGCATCTTAAAATAGACGCATCTTTTAGATTATATCCCACTATTTTGCCTCTTTAACAACATCTTATTTATAATCTGATGCCATGTTTTATATCAGTCTAACGCGTATTAAATCAAAAAAAATATGATCGGAAATCTTTTTGCCTTGATAAATGAATTCGACAATACGGACAAACATTAAAAACAAAAAACGCTCAATTTGGGACAAAGACAAAGAAACGGAGAGAGTATTGCCTTCTCATCTCGTTACATATTATTTTCCCGTAATCTAATATTTTTACTTCCTCCTAAAAAAGGAACAGTTGCGTTTGCGTCTTACCGCGTGACTTCTGATAACGATCAATTATGCCTTGTTTCCCTCAACAGTATGAAGGTACCAAAGTAACGACGCTGTATAACAAAGGGGCCACACACAGTGATGGCAGAATGACAAACGTGTGGGGTGTATGCTAAAGCGCGATAACCTGCGTCCGCTATCGACACGTATTCCTTTTACAATGCACAAATCTTCACGACAATAATTACACGTGTGCAACTAAATATCTGCCGGTTTATAACAGAAAGTATCATTATCCAAGGATGCAATCGACAAACACGCATGGTGTAGAAACTTTGCAGCACCTCGTGGATTACAATCGCACTCGCCGGCCGCAAATACCGCGCCCAATGCCCTCCTTATCGCGAAGCTACTTGTAAACTTTAATATTCCGTAAAAATTCCACATGGTGAAAGCTCTATATCCCTATTCGTGACTTGCATCAGGTCACGAAAATGAATTTAGCGTTCTGTTTACAAAGTTTTTTGAAGACTATACTTTTTAATGTCTGCTACGTTAGCTAGTTGAACACAGCAGTTGTAAGTCCACATCGCACATTCGTCAAGTTACCAGCCAGGTCAATCTCTTAACCTCTTGCGACTCGTACGCATCGATATGATATCAGTAACGTTAAAGTTTATAGGCCTATGCTGAATCCTGTGCTGCTCAATGACGAGTGTAGTGTTTTCCCTCCGATACGTTATGGGCTCGGTGGACAAAGAATTCGGAACTTGGCAGAGCAACGCCTCGGGCTGTTGTGGACACATGCACAAGGTGACTTAAGTCGATCGATAAAAAGCAGGCAGATATCAACAAAAAGACCACCACTGCTTCAACAAGCTACACCTACCCATAGCAGTACATCGACCGAACCTCACGGTAACAGATCTTCTGCAGCAAGACGCAGACCCAACCTCACGGTAACAAATCTTCCGAATGATGTCAAGGTACTTAACCTTCAATCTCCAATTAGCTTTGGCACTTGCCCGACGATGAAACTCACGCCCCAACTCTGTCCATGTATTTTACTGTTTTGCGCGGAAGCTCTAAATGTGCACTAGATTTTCATCGTACATATTAAAGTGCTTAATACTCCGTCACATGTTTTTACGGATGTACTAAGGCTTGCAATGTCAACAGTTACCCACTTTCGCAAAGCGGCAAACATGATCCAGTTGATACATACCTGCATCATCACGGAACTTGAGAGGCGAACCCGCCGCTACCGTCTGCATAACGAGATCGATTTTGACCAGCGTAGGGTGGTCGGCAATAACAATGTCGACTATCTAATCGGCATGCTCTGGTCAGTTTTGCCTGGATCGAGACCTTGGCCATCGTCAGTTTTCACAGCCAATGAACATGGTACGCGATGTCTATTCAGGCTCGACATATTCCAGGTAGTCACCGGCCTGATCAGACGGTTCTTCGTATTTGTCAACTTGATCTGTGCAGCGGACACAGCACCCAAATTACATCCACCTAGTTGTTTCTGCAGGTTTATTAGCGATGAAATTTATATAAATGACCATTGTGTTTGTCACCCATTCTGGATGGTGACAATATGAACCTTGTAACGGGGTGAATCGTTACATAACAATTTATAAGAAATTGTTAATAGAATATAACTATAAGAGTTATATTCTCAGAATATTGTCATAAGGACAATATTCTGTAGCACTTCCAAGTAGTTCCTAATTGGTTGATATAGGCCATTATATCAACCAACGAAGACGCGCCACGACAGACGCACGCAATGAGTGGTGAGCAGATAACTGATTTACACATTTGTATTTAGACATAGTTAGATGAAGATAAATAGTGATTTATTGCAGACATTAACTATTATAAATACAGTTCTACTTTTTACTCTAACCAAGTACTCGCTTCTTCTTACCGTCTTCCTCTGCACGTACGAGTGTACGTGAAGTTACGAGGCACCGCCTTATTCTGTTATCAGAATAAGTAGCTTGTACTGTCACCAGTACAAGCTTCAGGGTGCCCCGTTACACCTGGTAGCACTTCGTAGTCCGTCCAAGGACCGCGTTCACATCCAACATGAATATGTTGGATGATGAAGATGACCAAAGCTTTCACGCTACGCGTGACGGCTACTCCCATTTGAGCGATGTCGAATGGGATGCGGTTGAACGAATGGGTTCGACCATGGGCATCCATGCTGTTAGCGTCATGCTAGAGGCTCTCAATAGAGATGCCCAACATGCTACTATCGCCAAGTTCATTCAAAATGAACTTGACGCAGAACGCGAGAAAGTAGCCTTGCTTCACCAACAAGGTTCTCAACAAGCAGAGTTGTTGAGAGAACAAGGTGCTCAACAGTTTGAACTGTTGAGACAGCAGCAGGCTGCTGCTGGCGGGTCGATGCACTCGCGTCGGCCCGAGACTTTGAAGATTGACATCTCAAAGTATAGGGGGGTCGAAGAAGACTCCCTCTTGAGATGGTTCGTCGAATTGGATGACGCCATAAGGGCGCGTCGCATCGACGACGGGGATATGCAAGTTGCATTTGCCCAGTCAAATCTGGCAGGACGTGCCAAGACTTGGGCACTGGGGCTCAAGCTGCACGACCCATACGCGTTTGGGTCGTTGGAAGTCTTCAAGTCGCGGCTCAGACAAACGTTTGAACCGCCTAGAGCTGAGTTCAGAGCTCGAACCGAACTCTTGAAGCTCAAGCAGGGTAAGCGTGATGTGCACGCTTACGCTCAACATATACGACATCTCACGAGTTGTATAAGTTCCAATCCGGTGGATGAACACACGTTGGTTTCGGTGTTCATGCAGGGTCTTGCGGATGGTCCCGTCAAGACTCACCTGTTCCGGCTTGAACTAGATTCACTAGAACAAGCCATTTCAATTGCGGAGCAGGAAGACTTCAGTCTGAGACAGGCTCGCGCCAGCTCGACATCATATCGTCAACCGAGACGATATGACAACGGAGGTCCAGAGCCGATGGAACTCTGTTATGTAGAGAGCGAGAAGGCTCGCTCTACAGGCTACAAGAAGTTGCAGAGATGCAACAGATGTCAAAAGACAGGACACTACGCTTACGAGTGTAGTGCCCCTCGTCCAGTGTCTCGCGACACTGGGCGTAGTGACCGTCCACCCATGAGAAAGGGGCAGGGACGAGGGTCCGCAGTTGGTGCAAAGACGCAACAACGGGATGGACCGTCAAAAAACGGACAGGATCAGTAGGTGCGGAGCA